AACTCAGCCATAGTTTCAACTGGGAAACTGAACATCCTAGACAAAACTAAATCCAAAAACACTAGGGAATTCCTGGAAGCTTGGCATTCAGAAAATCAGCCATCAATAGACACACAGAGATAAACCACATTTACACACCATACAAAAGAGACAATAAAAAAGCTAGAGGACACTCAAAAAGACCAGAACACATCCTCTCTAGCAGCCTACACCCAATAAAAACACTAGGGAATTCCTGGAAGCTTGGCATTCAGAAAATCAGCCATCAATAGACACACAGAGATAAACCACATTTACACACCATACAAAAGAGACAATAAAAAAGCTAAGAAGGAAACAAAAAGACCAGAACACATCCTCTCTAGCAGCCTACACCCAATTAAGCAAGGATTAACACCAGACAAACAATCAAGCAGAAAACAATACCCTAATCAAGGAACTGCCAAAGAGACAATCAAGCAATCAATAAAGCAGACAAACAATTCCCTAATCAAGAAACTACCAAGGGGAAAATCACACCCCCACCAACACTGGCAGGACAAGCTACTATATATAAACAGGGAGCAAATCCCACACTCACTATCTCTGATGATGTTACCTAGTCAGTTAATGAAATGTCTGCAAGCAAACAACCAAGCTCAGAGAGCACCAAAGATTCCACAGACCAAAAAGAGGTAGCGAAAATTAGGGAAGGATATAAGGATGAGAGATTCTGAATGTGGAACAGGCCAGTTTTTACTGCTGTCAATAATGTTTCTTGATTAAAAAAAAAATGGCCATGGATGAAAAGGATAGTGAAAGAAATGAGAGTGAAGTCAGAACAATTACAGGAAGAGAAAGTATCAGTTCTGTATGAAAAAAATATTAGTAGTTAGATTAATCTCCCAATAGAATGAATGGAAAGTGGACTGTGGAAAATGCTTGGAGCAGCAAAAAAAAAAAAAAAATTCCAGAGCCCCACAGAAGTATATGGAGCAATGCTAATAGGAAGTATGAATGGGAGAAAGAAAACTTATTGCATTTTGTAAATCTAATTAAAGTGTATGATAAAGTAAATAGTCTTGAATTATGGGAAGTTGTACACAAATATGAAGTTGATGTTTGGTTTCTGAATGTGGTAAGTGACTTATGTGATGGAAGCAATGCATGCATTATAATAAATCTAATGCTAGTGAGTGGTACAATAATGAGTAGGGAGTAAGACAAAGAAATGTGATATTTCATGGATTGTTCAGTAGCCTTATGGCTATGTACAGAAGGAATGCTTGTGATGATATTAGAGATATGTTGGTTGGGAACATGAACACACACATGCTTTTCAGCAACTGTTAGACAGATTATATGATGCAATGAAAAATATGGATTTGATCATGAATACATCAAAGACCAAGGTTTGATAATCTTTGACAAGAAAAACAATACAATTTCTATATAAATGGCATTTGGAATAAATAAATGAATTGGTTTACCTTGGAAGAATCTTTACTAAACATGGGGAAATAGATAAAGCATACAAATAATAAAATAGATATAGCATACAAATTTAATAATAAATAAATAAATAAATAATAAAGAAATTTTAATGTATGCAAATTTTGATAGGAGGGCTCTGGGTAGTATATGGCCTGTTGTGAGGAAGCAATAGGATAAAAAAAATGAATGGGTATTAAATTAATGTGGACTGAATACAAAAGAGAGTGACCATTTCCAAAAAAGTACATTCAGTTGGTCAGTTAGAAAAAATGAATGAGGATTGAATTGCAGAACAAATATATGAAGGAGGAGCGAACAAGGAAAGAGGAAAGGGAAAACCAAGGAAGTTGTAGTTGGGTGAAGTTGAGAGCCCTAAGAAAGACAAAGGAGAATTTTGGAGAACGAAATGAAATATATGAATTGGTATATGGACATAGTGGAAGCAAAGATTATTTCAGTGTTAAGAAGATATGAAAAGATACTGTGAATCATGTTGGTATAAACTCATTTTAACTATGTTTCCTTTTCTTCTGTTCTCTCATACCTTTAATTTCTTTGGCTTACTATTTCTTATTCCTTTTCTGCGCTCCACATAACACTGCTTATCCCACAAAGAAATAGCATGCAATGATTGGTATGCAGGTATGTGTGATTTAAATCACTCCTGTATCATTTCCCATTAAAAATTACACTAAGAATTACATACAATAAGTTCAAACCATTATTAAGATCATACCTTAAGGCATTTGATAAAAACATGATACAAAATAAAATCAGCAAGATCAGCATTAAAACAATGAGAAAGTAAAAGCAGCAGTAAGCTAGTTTCAAATCACAGCAATGGTAACACAAAGGCCCAAAAGGATAAAAATGTGTTTGCCTGGTGCCAAAAAGAAAACAAGGATGGCATTAGACTACCTCATATAATTTGTGATAGACAAATGGGGGGGAATAGCGACCTTTCACTGCAGATGTTAGATATATTTAGCATTAGAAATGAGGTTATACGGGTAGTTGTTGGGTTATGACCACTTGTTCAGCGACCGTTCACCGTTCACAGCGTTGAACAAGTGGTACTTATGACTGGTCCCCCAAGTTCCAGTCATTGCAGCACCCCCACGGTCATGTGATCGTGATTTGGGCACTTGGCAACTGTCTCACACTTACGATGGTTGCAGCATCCCACAGTCACACAATCGCTAGTTGCAACCTTCCCCACCAGCTTCCCTCAAACAAAGTCAATGGGTAAGCCAGCAGGGAAGGTCACAAATCCCCCCTGCCACTTTTTCTCCTGAGGAGCCCCACTACGGGGTATGAGATCCCTCCGTAGCATGCGCCCACCCACAGCACAGCCCCGCCGGTCTGTCCACGCTCCGTAGCACCCACCCACAGCGCCTGTTGGCCTACTTGCAGCCCCTGCTGGCCCACCTGTGCTGTTTAGCACCCACCTCCAGCCCCCACCGGCCCATCCACAGCCCCTGGCAACCCACCCGCACTCCGTGGTGCCAGGCCATGGCACCCCCCCCCCCCCCCCGCCTGTGGTACCTGCGTGCTCCCCACTCCTTGCCTGGGATTCCCACCTCTTCTCGCTTAACAACTGACATGGTCCTGGGGTTATGATGGCAACCGGAATTGCTGGGATTGCCATCGCTAAGCAATGTGGTCATGTGACATTGCACTTTATGACATCACTCAGCAACAGAAATTCCAGTCCCAATTGATGTTATAACCCAAGGACTACTGGTAAATGATTTCAAAGGGCAAGGAAAGCACGACAGTATATTGTGATCAGAAGTGTATGGAAAGTGTAGCAGAAATAGGAAAATTGGAAAGGTAACAAAAAGCAGAATTTGGGGAGTACCACACAAATTGGAGATCCACATTCTTATGTTAGCTCCAGTATCCACAGATGGAAGATTGCTCTAGGATACACTACAGTATCAACTTTTGTACAGATATGGACAGACTTCAGGTTTGTGCAACTTACCTGGAATTTTATTATCCTAGGGCCCACTAACTGGAAACAGGAAAGGGCAGTTGGATATACCACTGAACAACCTCCATATACCATCATCAAAACTACACCCAGTGACTACAGATCACAGATTTTAACATCTTAATTTAAAGTCACAAAAGCCAGTTTGGTATAATGGTTAAGGCAGGGTTTCTCAACTTTGACAACTTTAAGATGTGTGGACATCAATTCCCAGAATTCCCCAGCCAGCAAAACAAAAAAAACGCCTAATTTATCATTCAAAACTAGTATTTTGGAAAATGGTCCAGAACACCAACCAATGAAAATCTTCAGTCATAAATAGTTAGAGCAGTGTGATTTCAGCTCCCAGAATTCCCTAGCCAGCAAGCTGGTGAAGCAAGCTGGCTAGGGAATTCTGGGAGCGACATCAATTCCCAGAATTCCCCAGCCAGCAAAACAAAAAAAATGCCTAATTTATCATTCAAAACTAGTATTTTGGAAAATGGTCCAGAACCCCAACCAATGAAAATCTTCAGTCATAAATAGTTAGAGCAGTGTGATTTCAGCTCCCAGAATTCCCTAGCCAGCAAGCTGGTGAAGCAAGCTGGCTAGGGAATTCTGGGAGTTGAAGTCTACATGTCTTAAAGTTGCCAAGGTTGAGAAACCCTGGGTTAAGGCACCAAGCTAGAAACCTGGAGACCCCGAGTTCTAGTCTGCCTTAGGCACAAAAGGCAGCTGGGTGACCTTGGGCCAGTCACACACTCTAGCCCTAGGAAGGAGGCAATGACCAACCACTTCTGAAATCTTGCCAAGAAGACTGCAGGGACTCGTCCTGGCAGCCACCAGGAGTCAATACTGACTGAAGGCATTACCAAAAAAAAAAAAAGTTCAGGAAGAATTTAATTTGTTTTTATGTTTGTCGCTGATGCTGCAGCTGCTCTGCAAACCATGCAGACATCCTTTATAGCATCCCCAGCATCAATCATCAAAACCAGTAAGAACAGTTTATCTGGAGAGTGATAGAGAGAGCAGTGTTACATGCTGTGGGTTTAATTCTGGAAAGCGTTTTGGGAAGTCTGGTAGCAACTTCCTTCTGCAAAAAAACACACAGGTGTGAAAGAAAGGGACGGGTAGATAAAGTCAACGCCAGGCATCTGCTTCTCTCCGCGTTGTTCTAGTTTGATTGTCGATGTACCCATTGCGTTGCGTGACTTTTGTGAGCCCCTTTGGAAGAGTCCCGTCGATATACAGGATGGGAGTATATTAACCAGCTCTCTGGCAGAGGGACGAGGTGCCACTTCCCGTGTTGTTAAAGGCAACGGTGACGCTGGTCAACAGCACAGTACAAATAATCATCGATTTGTTGTTTAATGCGCCCTGCCTTTTGGAGGCTTCAGTTATCGCCTAGAACCCCGCACATGGAAGGTGATGGTGGTCGTGGTGGTTTCTCATCGATTTCGAAAGAAATCAGGAAGTGACGACAAAACCGTTTGGGACTAGAACTCTTAGTGTCTGAATCTGCAAGTTTATACAGCGTTTCTCATGGCTGGCTAGGGAATTCTGGGAGTTGAAGTCCACACATCTTAAAGTCGCTGAGGTTGAGAAACGTTGGATAGGACTCGAAGGCTGGGTCCTAACGATAAGCCCTCCGAAAGAAGAAGCTGTCTTCAACAGTGCCTGCCCTTCTGATTAACTTCGTCCGATTTGCTGCGCTGGAAAGCCGAGCTCAGACTTTACACGCTCAAATTTTGGATCCGGAAGAAGGTGTCTGTCCGCACGAAGCACGGGAGCTGCCCGGGATCTTTGCAAACATGGCGGCCGCTGTAGTTGTTGCGGCCCAGAGAGTCTGCAATGCCGGCGTCCTCAAGACCGCATGCAGAGGTGAACCCTTTTCTTGCTTTCGGCTGGGCTGAGATTTCCGTGCACAGACTGCATCAGGGGGGCTTCCTCACGTTAGCCTTGCCTCCCCTGGCACCGTTCTAGTTTTTGCCCTTGTGAATGATCATTTGTATCGGATTGCAGCCAGTACAGTAGCTGACGCTTTGGTTGCGTTTTTAAGGGTAGCAAATCTGCTAATGAAAAATGAGAAGGCAGGCTCAGAATTTAGTGTTTCCCTGCAGGAAAGCTTATTTACGGTTGGAAGTCAATGCATGCTTACATAGCTGGGGATAACTCCCACTGTATATAGGAGAGTCAGCTTCTGAATAAATATACAGTACATAGACGGTTCACACGTAACACCCGTGATTAACTTAACCAATCCTACGCCTTCGCATCGCACACTAAACCATAAAGTAACCACATAAATTGGTTTGCACAACTCGTTTGGCAAATGTGATCGGCTAATTTCGTTTCACTCTTTCATGAAAAGGCAATCACAGGACTGCATTGTAAAGTTGCAAATTTACATATTAGGAATTAAATCGTTTTAGAATTGTTGCCGAGTAAATTGTGCATAGGTTTGTATTTTACTGTGCAATCCTTTGCCTGCATTTGCAAGACATGCTAAATTAGAATATCAGACATAGCTACTGGTTAAGATGGATTGCTTTCAAAGAGTTTATTGTAGAGATAGTTTAACCAGTGGCGCTTAGATTAATCTCTGTTTCAAATGCGAAGAGTTTAGAGCTTTCTTGTCTCTATGGGGTTTTGTTTTTTCTGAAATTGGGAGTCCACTTCAGTTAGTACCAACATTCAAGTTCAGCCATTCCTATCTCATATCTCCCAGTAAGCCCTGCACCATTAATTTGTCTCTCAGTCATTGCTTTCCATCACTTTCCCCTATTTTAAAAGCAAGGGCAGTTTGAGTGGTAAATGCGGTAAGTTTTGTTCTGTATGAATTATACCCATTTCTGAACCTCCCAACTTTGAAGGGTAAGAGGTGATACAAAGAATGGGCTCCAACCGTTCTTGGTAGGTAGGAGACTTTTCAAATTTCTATCATGGACCTTGAAACCACAGTAGCAGGGTGCTTGCATCCTTGTGTCCTCCTTAACAGGTTTCCTGAAGGCATGTGATAGGTCAGTGTGGAGAGGCTGGAATCTAAGAGGCCTTTTCCTGCGAGCGTTATAACTCTGATGCTCTGAAAGAGAATGAAAAATGGAAGGGGTTAAAAAAGCCCCACCCCCCAAAAGGGGCCAAAGTGGACATGCAGTGAATGAATGATCCTTTTTTTCCTTTCTTCAGTAATAAATTGAGTGAAAGTATATATTATTCTGTCACTCCATAATAAATTGAGTGAAAGAATAATACGAGATAAGGAAGCTCCCTACCCTCAAGGCTTTTCTTGTTCTGTTCAAAATCACTTCTTGGTTTCTTTATTTGCAGGGGGGAAATGCAGAGGCCGAGCTTTCAGTAACAGAGATGCCGAAGGAAATTCTTTTCTGTCTAGAGCAATGTTTCTCAACCTTGGCAAGTTTAAGAGGGGTGGACTTCAACTTCCAGAATTTCCCAGGCAGCATGAAGTCTACCCCTCTTAAACTTGCCAAGGTTGAGAAACACTCATTTAGAGAACTGTGACTGGGGGTACAATACTAAGCAATCAGTTATTCTGAAAACTGGCTAGGGGGATGTAGATTCTGTGTTGCTTTTCTGTGTTAATGCTTTATAGATTTTAGTAACTGGGATATTAACATATGATTTTTTTCCACAGGTTATGCTTTGATTTCAAGGCATGGAATCAGTTGCCAGTATGCTGCCTTGGCATGGACTTTACAGACACATTGCAACATTTCTGCATCATATAATGTGACAGTGCAACAGAGAAGGCAGAGAAGCTTTTTCAACAAATGTAGGTATTTGGAAGCCACTAACCAATCCTGCAGCCTATAATTTTACTGTTATGTTCATTAGATTTACACCCCATCTTTCTACTTTTATAAACATTTAAGGCAGCTTACACCATCGAAAACCAAAATATAAAGTGAGATTAAAATCTATTAACGGTGAAAATCTTGATGGAAGCTTTTGATTCCATAGCCTGGGAGCTACACAGAAGAAGGCCTTTCCCCACATGTCAGACAAACAAGCTTCTGGGAGCAAAAGCACCTTCTGCTAATCTAAGTTATCGGTCAGGTTCATAACAGAAGAGCCAGTTAGTTGTTCAGGCAGCCAGCCCATAAATTGTTTCGGGCTATAAAGTCAGCACTGTTACCTTAAATTGTACTTGATAGGCAGTTGGGCAATTAGTGCAGAGCTTTTAGTGCAGTCTTGACTAATCTAGCTGCAGCACTTTGCACCAGTTACATTTTTGGACACTTTTCAAGGTTACATGAAGACAGCACTTCACTAAAGTGTGAATAACCTCCACTAAAGCTGACTGGCTCAGGAAGGCTTATAGCTGGCACATTAGCCATAGTTGTGCAGATGTGCCACTCACCATGCCACCTGTAGATTTAGTGATAACTGAGGACCAAGCAGCACTCCCAGACTGGAACCCTGTTTGTTCAAGGGGAGTGCAGCTGTCTGGCATTTTGCAGACACTTTAAGGGTGGAAAAATGGGCCTGGTTCACCATCCTTATTGCCACGGTGTAGGCTCAAATTCTCTCATAGAGAATTACCCTGTTCAAGAATATACATGATTCCTCAGTTGGCTAAGGAATTAAAATAGTCGTGTGAATCCCTAATGTTCTCAGAATCAGAACTAATCAGTGTTGATTAGTCAAGTCTTACTAGGGCAGAGTTGGACATTGAGGTCCTCCAAATAATTACTGAACTTCAGCCGTCAGCAGCCCCAGTTAAAATGGCAAATGATGGATCTCGAAGCTTTACTATAGTTCAGTAACATCTGGAGAATCAAAGGCTACCCACCCTTGTCTTAGGGTATTAGGGATTTTTCCCCCTAAACTGCCATTGCGCAATGCTGCATGATGACTAGCCACTGCATAATGTGAGGCCTCTTGCACCAAAGGATCCAATGATTTCTTTCTTTCTTAGTATTTGGCCTACTCATATTTCAAACAATGACTGGGACACATAGCAGGACATCTGAATGAAGGGTGGGTGTTGGGAGGGCCCAATAATCTTGAGTTGTATGTATGTATATACGTATGTATTTATGGCTGCCAATCTCATAGAAGTGACTCTGGGAAGCTTACAAGGATTAAAAACACAGAAAAAGCCACAACATATAACCCCAGGTGTCCAAAACTCCACTCACCAGGAAAAGAAGCACATTAACAATAGCAGAGCCATCTAACCACCTGACCCAAATGCCTGAGAAAATAGCCAGGTTTTCAATTTAAGGTTGGGGCCATCAAAATCTCTGAGGATGCTATTCCATAGGGCAGGCACTGCCACTGATAAGGCATGACTCTGGAGTCCAACAAGATGGCATTGTTTGATAGAAAGGACCTGGACCTCTCTACTAGATCTGGTGGGATGAGTGGAAACAATGGGAGAAAGGTGGTCCCACAATTAGCCTGGCCCTATGCCATGTAGGGCTTTGTAGGTGATAACCAGCACCTTGAATCACACCCAGAAGCTTACTGAGACCAAGTGCAGCTTGCAGAGCAGCAGTGTTATATTGGCATAAGAAGAAACACCAAAAACTACCTGCACTAATGCATTCTGGACCAGTTATAGCTTCTGAGTGCTCTTCAAGGGCAGCCCCATGTAGAACACATTGCAGTAATCCAAACAGGAAGTAACTGAAGCACGAGTCCCTGTGTGCAAAGCCTCTTGTTCCAGGAATGGGAACAATTGATACATAAGACAAATCTGTGCAAAAACCCCTTCAAGCAGGAGCCAAAAGTCCAGGAGGACCCCCAAATTGTGCACCAACTCTGACTGGGGAAGTGCACCTCCATGCAGAATTAAAGATGAAAGATCCCCAAACCTAGACGGCCTTAAAGCCCATGGCCACTCAGTCTTGCCAGGGTTGAGCCAAAGCCTATTCTCCCCCATCCAGACCCTCATAGCCTCAAGACATTGAGAAAGGACCTTGACAGAATTGCCTGATCAGCCCGGGGTCAGGATGTACAACTGAGAATCATCAGCATACTGATGATGTTGCACCCCATGTTGACAGTTGACCTCACTCATTGGCTTCATGTAGATGTTAAATAAGAGCAGGGAAAGGGCAAAATTCTGAGGCACCCCACAAAACGGGATCGTAAGCTAGACCTCTCTCCCCCATCAACATTGACTGGAACCAGCCCTGGAGAAAAGAGAAGAATTTAGATTAGATTGGGCCCTCCACGTAACATCAGTACTGCATGAATCTTTCATCTTCCTCTGAAGCAAAGAGATGAATTTTTGGAGTTTTTGTCCAAGTAAGCTTGATTAGGATTAAGCTAGTCCATTTTTCCTAAAATCTTGTGTATCTCTACTTGCTATATTAAGTGAAGGGAGTAAAAAATGAATGTATTAGTTTTCTGATGAACATTTGACAGTCTTTGTTGTGCCTATGACTAGTTAAGTGCTGTAAGTTTCCATTTTTTGAAAATTATTTGAAATATTATTTTCTTTTACATCGGCAATGCACTGTCACCTCATTAGAGACTGCAGAAAATTTGAAGTAGTACTTGGCAGTATTGTCACCACCAGTTGTGAATTGATTCTCCTTGTTTCATCTTGACTATGGAAGAAGAATGGGGAGTTGATTTTTTTAGAAGTGATGATTCATGTGGTCAATGGGAAGAAAAGAGGCAGTAACCAAATATGGAATACAGAATACCAGCGGAGAAGACAATAAAACCCGAGTATTTGGGTAGATTGGGGATCAAAATGGAAAGAAGATCTCCACAGTGGCTGAAAACATCTGAAATTTTACCAAAAAAATTGTAAATCCCTTTTGCTGTAGACTAATTTCAGTGTGCTCATCCTCAGGCCACACGTATGTCCACAGTTAAACAATTCCTGCTGTAGTCACCATCTGTAATGTATTCTTTGTGGCACTGAACAAGAAAACAAATCCGAAGGGCTTCTAACATGAGCTTGATTGGATCTTATTAACTTGGCTTTTTATCAGCTATAATCTTGCTTAATCTGCTTTCCAGTTAAAGATCAGCATCTCCTTTCCAGTTTACAAGTTCCACTGAAAATATCATTTCACTTCGGAAGCCTAGTTCCAATCCCACTGGCTCATCCACCCCTGCCATTAGGAATTTAGTCAGCAGATAGCCAAAGGAAGACCTTTCTGGTTATGGAAACCATGAGATGTCTTCATGTTTGCTTTTTGTATACTGCTTTTCTTAATATGAAGAAATGCTGCTTTTTTTTTAAAAAAAGAACTTTTTAAAAATCTGTTTTAACTTGTGCATTATAACTGTTGCTATGGGATTTGTTTGTTTATTATTTGAGTGATGTTATATCCTGAAAGGTGGAATAAAAATGTTGGTAATAAATCATATAAATAATTATTTTTATATGATAAAGATCATACCAATTCAAATCATTAATAAATAAATGCAAGGGTTACTTGGGAGTAATGGCATAGAGGAATATGGACATAATCTTGAGGAAGGAATGGAGGGTGGTTATGTAAACACCAGCTCATCTCTGAGAAACAGGAGGGAGAGAGAAAGAAACTAAGGAATACCCTACCTTGATTCTCTTTGGTGTAAGAAGGGACAGAGGGAAACTGTCATGGTTTTAAGATTTTATTATTATACCCTACAATTATAGAATTCCATTAGTTCTTGTGTCCATTTCCTGCCCTAGCTATCTCAGAAGGCTAAATGGTATTTGGCCTTAAAGGTAGTCTTTGTTCAACAAAGCTAATTAGGACTGGAAAATCCATTGTTAAGCGACATAGTTGTAAGTAAAAAAGCCATGTGACCACGCTGCTTAGTGATGGCAGTTCTGACAGTCCCAGTTGCCATTGTTAAATGAGGACCGCATGGGTCGTTAAGTGAGGACCTCATGTGACCATGACTTCCTGCTGGCTTCCCAATTGACTTTGCTTGTGGGAAGCCAGCAGGAAAGGTTCCAAATTGCAATCACGTGTCTGTGGGATGCTGCGAGAGTCATATGTATGAAGTCTGGTCGTAACTACCACTTGTTCATCTCTGTCATAAGTTTGAATGGTCACTGAACAAGTGGTAGTTTAACAAGGACCACCTGTACTTTGATGCAGACATAGACCTAGATATTTCTGTGTTATACTTCTTCCATGTGATGATAAGATGGGCCACATGAAGAAAAGAAAATTTAAAATAATGTCTTAGATAATATATAATATATAATGTTTTATAGTCCTTGAGTTATGATGACAGTTGGGACCAGAATTTCCATCACTAAGTGATGCAGTTGTAAAACTCAACAGCATGTGACTGCATCGCTTAGAGATGGCATCGCTTAGAGATGCTTAGAGATGGCAATTGCCATTGTTAACTGAATCCCACCATGGGGGCGCTGCAATGGCTGTAACTTCAGGGACTGGGCATATGTACCATTCATCCAGTGCCATCATAATGATGAACAATCACTGAACAAATGGTGGTAACTCAAGGACTACCTGTAACGCCTTACTAAAGGAACAGATCAAGAATAGACATGGGACTTTGTTCAGCTTTTTGTACAGGTAGTCCTCAGGTTACAACCATTCATTCAGCGACCATTCAAAGTTACAACAGCGATGAACAAATGGTACTTGTGACATCTCATAGTTCCGACCAGTGCAGCATCCCCACAGTCACATGATTGCAATTTGTGACCTTCCCTGCTGGCTTCCCACAAGCAAAGTCAATAGGGAAGCTGGCAGGAAGTCAGAAGTCGCGGTCATGTAAGGTCCTCGCTTAATGACCTGCGCAGTTCTTGTTTAACAACAACAGCTGGGACTGCCAGAATTACTGTCATATACAGGTGAAACTCGAAAAATTAGAATATCGTGCAAATGTTCATTTATGTCAGTAAGGCAACTCACAAGGTGAAAC